TTTCATCGGATCGACTGGAGAACTGGCAATAATGTCCTTAAATTGGTTGTGGTATCTTAGCTTAATTTTTTTTGTTTCTCAAGTATTCAATACAAAATTTTAACGAATAAAATAAATATTTATGGAAGTATTCAGAGACCGTATTTCATATAATTTAACATAAGATTTAATGTTGAACATATATTTGTCATTCATTCGTTCAGTCTGTACGCATCATTACGTCACATATCTCAATTTTAATTAGCAGTAAATGACGACTGATAGTATTCTATAGAAAATTTTGCGATTAATTGAGAATCTTTTTTGACATCGTTGATGAATGTGATCGATTTTTCAAAAATCATCCAAACTACAAACCTTTGACATATTGAGTGGTTTTCAGTAAAAGGCAATAGAATCTATTCTATACAGTCATATTTTGAACTTATGCATATTCGATTATTAAACGTATTATTGATAATTTAAAGACAATAGAATTAATTGTAATGTACAGTCAACGATCAAATCCTTTAAAATAGATGACCCTTTCATTGCCCGGCGCAAAATTCATGAAACACTTCCAAAATATAGTCTTATCATTAAAGTACTTGTGCGTGGATCAGAACGTTTCTTAAGAAGATTTTCGCGTTTTGTTTTTGCACTATCATCAGACATTTTGTTATCTTGATAATTATTAGCAGCATTTTATATTTTAATTTGGTTCCCCGACATTAAAATTCACCATTTTGTAGAAAAAAAATCTATTAACCATGTATAATTTATTTGTTATATAGCCATCCATGTACAGTTTTGAAAATTGTGGGGTCCGATTTCGCCTTTCTTCTTCATAATAATGAAGTTATGATTAAAATGGAAATTGTTAATCTAAAAGGATATCTTGAAATATCGTCCAAGTTTTTATATTACAGGAAACCCAAAAAGGGTTTTTTCTTTACCCTTACTTTATTACCATAAAATAAAATCAATTCTCAAATTTAGTCTGCCTTTTCATTAATTCGCCCAAGCATCGAACCCGTCACAGCAGGAAGCGACTATTTAGATGTTATTATTTTTATATGAAAAAGTTTCTCTAAAATTGACATCATAAAGGTTTTATTTTAATTCAAATCGCCCAGTACGTTTGAACAGTACCTTTTGATTTACGTATGTTGGAAAAGTAATGTAAATAAATTAACCCGTACAAATAGTAGGTATGTATTTGTACAAATAGTATGTATTTAGCGAGGCATTGACCGAACTGTAGTCATTAGAATCTTTAATGAAGATTTGGTTGGAGTATTTTCATTAATACCGTAACGAAGTAGAGTTCGATGAAACGAAACTTTGTTAATAAGTAAGTATAATTAAACAGGAACTGTTGTATTAATAAATACATTTTGTTTGTAAATGAGATAAAATGGATCCTGAGACGTGAAAATATTTGAATACTGATTTTATCATAATGCAATTTTGATCAGATTTAAATACATTTTCAACTTGATTGAAGGTTTAAAAAACCTTTAATTTATTTACGTATTCTTATAAGACACATCAACGGAGCAAATATTATAGCAAAAATAACCATAATTACCGAGAATCACATCTAATATTTGCACCAATAAATAAGCGTGTAGTGCTATTGCAATTTTTTCACAATTCTAAAATACAAAGATATTGGATAAGATTTTTTTTTCACTTTGATTTAACAAGAAATGACATTAAAGTTGGCTTGCTACGTCACAACGACGTAGAAAATGTACAAAGATGTGACGTCATACACTCAGTGTATCGACGTAAATTAGTAATTATGTAAAAAAAGACATGTTTAATATTGTTCAATAATCATTACTAATCAACCTGGTGGACCAACAAATAAAAATAATTATCGTCCCTATTAGACTGTATTATAAAAAGTTCAACTTATAAGAAAAAAAAACGATTAAATCGTGACACAATGCAAAAAATGCGATTTTGAGTAATGAGCGTTTAAAGTTCAAGAAATTGTAATCAGCCCCTCTAAACAACGTATCGACACTACGCCACCTAGCAGTTTCTATGCGAGCTACGGTCACAGGGATCTTTGCATTTTAAAGTTTATACTTAACAAAGAAAAATGTTGTCAAAAGTAAAAAATACGTCATTTTTGGTTAGTGACATTGTCATTCTCAACGTGCGAAATAGTCTTTGGATGAATTACCTGAACATTGATGAAAATATATGAGAGTACCAACAAAGTCAGTCCTGCTGCATCTCAGGTAATACAATTGGTTAGATTACTCGTCCGAATTGCGAATGTTTGTGGGTTCGCACCCTATCAAGGGCATCTGGGACTGGTAATTTTCCAAGCATTTTTCTTTAAGATAACGAATGTAGCATTTTCACGTAAATTGATTAAATATATTAATTACTTTTTTACCGTTGAAAAGTTCAGAGAACATGCTATTCAGTGTCACGAGTAAGCAGCTCTCCAGCGACGCACATTATTAATAATTAATATATTCAAATTAATTATTCTTTCACGTATAATAGAATGCCTGAGAGATGGCTCGTCATGTGCTCGTTTCTTATATTATTTGTTATTAATTATTGGTGTTTATTTTATTCAGTTGGAAATTTATTATTAATTAATTTTCTTTTCTTAATGTAGCAAATCTGTTACATTCATCACGTGGTCCTTCAACACCGACGACAATCGTCCAAAGTAATACCAAAGCTGTATTTTTTAATTTCTCGCTTATAATCAAAGAGCTTAAAGGTGAACATCCATATGCCAGGATGCACGTACCGGTGGCAAGACACGCAACGGATTATATAAAAAAATCCCATAACGTCATCAGCATAATTCCGACTTCAATACCTCCAGTTGCATTTTCCATAGAAGTACCGACGAAAAATCCGTGCAATGTATTGAGTGTCGTGCGGGCGGTGCGTGCGTGCTGAAGCAATAAACGTGAACCATACGAACTGGGTCGCTGGTATGAGGTGCGTCATACCGGCGACACTGTTCATATTGTTCTACATTTTAACTATTTTATGGCTCTGATCCTCCTCTATAATCTTGAGGAGCGCAGTGGTTACCGAGTTCGGTCTGCGATGCGGTTGTTAGGCAACTTACGCAATAAGATGAGTGACCAAAAAAATTTTATCTCGAGCTCCTCCGTGCTTCTGAAGGCAAATTCAGCTGATGGTCCCGGCTACAACTCGTTGTCGTTTACACACACCAATGGGGTATGCGTGGTAAATAACGGCACATTCGCCCTATTCGATTCGATACCATCCAAAGCTAAAGTTTGTGCCCCAGCAGTGGGGATAAAGGACGCGACGCTCGACTGTTTTAAAGAATTAACCAATATGACTTTCTTTTTCTTTCAGTCCTTTTGTCGTTTTCTATTTTCCAGAGGTTTTAACAGAAATTCTTGTTCCATAGGACTCGGACTATTTTAATACCCTTAGCAACTGACGCGGTTCGGCTCAATATTTCAAGCAGTTTTCTAATAAATAATTTTAATTATTGTACTTGATTAACTTTGCATATCCAATGCTACAGTAATAAATATATTTATTTAATTAAAAATGCTTAAAAATAAATGGTTTATTTAATAATAATAAGGGTTTATTTAATTTATCTTATAGGTCGGGAAGTTCGTACGCCGAAATCATCATTACCATCTCTGAGGCCTCGTATTCGATTCCCCAATTTAAAAGTGCCTTTAGTATTTCAAGACGTTGTTATTACTGGCACTCGTACTGTTGTTATTTCAAATTTTTATAATACAAGTGCTTTAGTCACTTAATTTGGAGCCTGAACGATGAAATATTTATTGTCTTATATTTATTTTTATTATTGTTATCTAATATACCTACAATTCAGTATATTCTCTGTTATACCTACAAGATAACGGGACTCTTAATATCTCTCGTCGACTTGATACAGCAGAAGAACAGAAGAAGAAGAAAGAAGAATCTCCAATTTCTGCATTTTCCATGAATATAAACGTTCGGTAAACAGAAATGGGCGTAGAATCGCATTAATTTTCATAAATTAATCGGCGGTTATATTATTTTCATAATTTTTAATCCTTTATTCTTTGCATCAACTTATTTAAAATTGATTAAAAATTTGGATCAAAGTGTAACTATCGTAATTTAATCGTTAACTTGAATACATTGTGCCCATCTCTCTAGCTATCGAGATAGCTAACTATTGTTTTATATAATAAGACCCATCACGAGTGTTCGTAAAATAATCAATTGCCGTACTATTCCAACTATAATAATAAACATATTGAATTTTACCACACGAGTTTTATCATACATTTTTTGCGAGTGACATTATTAGTTCAATAATAAGGTCTAAAGTAATAACTACTTTTTCATTCATGATCTGACCCCGCTAGTGGTATTCAATTGTTTTATATCATAATTTAATATTAAAAGAATTTCCTTTTGTTTATCATTCATGATTAGAACACATTTCCTACACTTTAATATCAAATGTGTACTTAAAAACTAATTAGTATTTACTCGTGCGATAACAGATTGAGATAATTGTGCGTTTACAAAGTTCATTGTCAAGAACATGTGATGAATACTGTTTAAGAAATATTTTGCTCATTTCATACATCATTTATCAAATAATCAACCTACTTTCATGTTTCTTTACAAGAACTATTACTGCATTAAAATGTGTGTAAAGTATGATGAAATTAACGTTAATTTTTTCGTAATGTATAAAGTTTTCATAAAGAATTGCTTCATATTAACAACCTTCACTCTATCTCGTAACGTATAGTCTATCATTCTATAGCACATCAGATATCTACAATTGATGTTAAACCTTAAAGTGTTGTAGATTAAGATCGAAATCGATTGCTCAACATTTTCCTATAAAATGATGTGGTGTTGTGTGTACGAATAGAACGAAGGTTGACAATATGACATTGTTATTAATATTGTAACTGTCGGCATCGCATCGACAATCTCAATTGATGTCACTGGGTCAGAATATATTAGGAAAAGAAACTAAAATTTCACTTCGATACGAATTTTAATATTTTCATACATTCATAAACTATGTCAGGTAATAAAATTGTCCGCTCAGCGGAAAGGTACATGGACACATAATAAATTAACTTAAAACTAAATCAGTCTAACGGTCGCTCCGAGACAGGAGCGGTTAAGCCTAGTATCACAGATCAGTAGTGCGGTGGGGCGCGGGCCGAAATGTACCCGCGGTGCGCGCGAATAATGCGCGCAGGGCGGGGGCGGCGGTCACTCGTCTGACGCCGATGACAGCTGCGTGCTGCCGCCTGAACTGAATGATCCCCTACAGGCGGCAGCCTCTGAGCCGTTTCCCGATACCGGCACATCACCCGCACCGCTACCCGGCGACAGTGTACGCAACAGTTCCAATGCGGCACGCGCGCGTTGTCCATCAGCCACCGCTGCAGATGCGGCGCCTGACGCTCGCTCCCACGCATTTTTCTCTGGCAAAAGCAAACGTCGCGCTTCCCGCTGTACACGGCGAGAACGTAACGCAAATAGGAACGGAGAAACAGCAGCCGCCAATAGCAGCAATGCCAAAGCTGGAGTACGCACGCACTCTGCCAGTCCAGGCACAGCGGCTGATATAACAGCCGTCGCAGCATGCGGAATATGTAACATCACTAACGCACCCGTCAATAGTCCAACACGGGCCGCACGAGATTCTTCCCTATATCTAAACAATGAAGCGTTCGAAATTCTGCACCTTATCGACGTAATTCTAGAGCCACTGTGCGATGGCTGTGGCGTACGAGGTTGCACGGCGAGCAGAGGCGCGGCCAAAGAAGGGGCAGAGCTAACAGCCGGTAATCCTTTCCTGAGATCCTCGTGAGATTTGCCCTCTTTTCGCGCATTACGAAGACTCGCGACAGAAGGACAACGAAGTGGACGCTCAGGTGGAAGAAGGAATGGGCCGAATTTGGCTGGTTCTCCGATCGGAACATTATCTGACGCATCTGGCACATCAATCCTCAGAGTAAGTCCTTCACCCTCTTCGACCAATTCTGGTAAGTGTGCATGTGGCTCATGTAGTTGCAAAGCACTCGCACCGTGCGCTCTAGCTCGAAGTCCCGAAGATCGTGCCGCTCGGTAAATTCTTGCATACATAACGCAAACGATAGCCGCCGGCGTGATAACTCCCAAAATTAAGTACACAATATAGTAAGCGAACTCGACTCCTTGAACGATGGGCTCGAGTGGGTAGAAATGGCGAACAACCGCAATGGCCGCTCTAATAGCTGCAGCGGCAGCGGCTGCTAGCCAAGTTGCAGCACATAAAGCTGCGGGGCGTCGTTGTAGAAGGCGGGTATGGCAGCGCAGCGGATCGGTGACCGCGTGATGCTGATCGAGCGCGATCAACATGACAGCCAGTAGTGCAGCCAGACTGCACGCTGAGGCAGCAGCGTCGCCTGCCTCAATCCATGAAGCTACGTTCTCCTTAGCTGAGTGCTCGCCGAAGAGCGCGGGCGCCAGTAAGGAGGTCGTCAGCAAATTGGTCGCCAACAAGTTGATAACGAACCTGTAACAAAAGAGACGTACATAAGTAAACAAGCTTATGTTTGCCGATTCTTATTGATTCAAGCGTGTAAGTTTGTGGGACGCAAGTACCACAAGGTCGTTCTATAGCTGACATTCAGTGAAAATATGCTTGACGCGTATTTTCTGCGTGGTTCGGTTTAATTTGATTTAATGGTAATTAATTTTCCACCGTCGTTGATGGGAAGTGAAACAAATCGTTGTTATTCGAGGAGAGTTTACAAATGTTGTTTAAACTTCAAATGCCAAAACAGGAATCAGTAAAATAGGTTCTTTATGTAGTTCACGGAACATTCGGGCAATTTTCAATCTCAAAACAATATATATTTGAGGCACTTCTGACCAGTACATAAAAAAAATTATCAGTAAATTTATTAGAAAAATGGCGGAACTACTGTTATATGATCATTGAAAAACCATAACAAAATGTGAACGCAATATGAAAGCACGTACGACCTAAGTGATTATGTTATCAAGTAATGGCAAACAACCTGTAAATGTTTCTAAACAAGACCCATGTCTTTAAAAATCCATTAACCCTAAAACGAGTGCTCGCCCTAATTTGAAATAGAATTTCAATGACATGATAAATATACATTCCATTTTATTGATATTCTGTAATTAAGCTTGAAGACAAACAAATAAATTAGAAAGACTAATAATTTTAATGTATTAACAAATTTTCGTTTCATTAAAATTTTAATAGGATCACAATAAAAGTCAGCCTGAATATTATAATAAAAAACGATTTATAACTATAAATTTAGATTAAATTGGAACATTTGACATTGGTTTATATCATTGCCAAGGTAAGATTGTTAGGGAAATAAGAGAACGAAAACAACAATATTGTAGCCATTTTTTCATATTATTAGTAAAAAATATTTCAATTTATAATTTATAAAATGCAATAATGATAATAAATTGTTCTCTCCAATACAAACTGCTTTAAACAAAAAAAATATAAACAATTGTATTGTTTTATTTAAGAGTTATTAGTTGTTGGTAAATATAATTAATAAAAGATTCTTATGTCAAGTCTCCATAGCAACCTCATGTGGTCGTTGTTGATCTTTATTAATAAACTTTTATATACCAGAATGTTCCCGGGTTCCCATATATAAATAAGAAATCGTACCCTTGTGAATATATAAGTAATGACATTGAACAATCGACCTTCAGCGAACGACTTACATTTAAAAATCAAATGAATCTTTTTAAGTTGCACATATGCGAGAGTAGTATGCATTTTTTCCGATGGATACGGATATGATTTTGAAATGGATGCGAATTTATGAATGGTTTATTGTATTATTTTAAAATCAAGGATGTATGCGATTATATTAAGGCAGGGGATTTTGCATTATTTAAAAACAATAAACAAACGAAACTAGAAATGGACACGAAGAACTAATGAATAGATTTAGAGAAAATGATCATTAAGATTAGGTAAATATGAAAAAATTTAATGTATTGTATAAGAATACATTAATCAACATGCAAGACAAAATTGGACAAACTATCTGCCTTCATTTCCATCAAGAGCTGTAGTTCTATTCTATTAAGAAGGGTTTAACGCAGCGTCTTAAATCTTACTACTGCAATAAAACTTATAAATTCTAAAAATATTAAGGGTTTTACTTCATTGAATCTCTATGCTATATTTACGTTGTATTTTTACAGAATACTAAAGCTGTACTTTAGTCGTTTGTCTTCATGGAAATAAAACCCACACAATAAAATATAAGAGCAGATTATATTAATTTTATGGTAGAGAAAGTAAAATTGTCTGGACAGAGTCCAAATAAAATTAAAATTATAGAACAAATCCTTACGGATTTAGAGACACCAAAAATTTGTAATTGTAATATTACAAATTCTTTCAGCAATAAATCAGCTAGACAAGGCAAATTAGCAATTAAAACCTCCCATATAAATCTCACATTTTTCTACAAAACAACGGCAATTTTGATAACTGTGTCGAGGCCATTTATGACCATGAGTTGAGCCCACAACAAAGCATATAAGCGCATAACCTTACATTTTGTTCCGTTATTAAATTCGCAATTGTATGCCAGTTAATTAATAACTCCTAAACTGTATCTTGCTGTTTTATTTGATTTCACTCCTTAACAATTGGGCTTTCTATCAAAAACAAAAGGATTAAATCAAATTTGACTTCAAACTTTCGAGCGACTTTCTTCAGAAAATAAAGATAATGAAAAAAGACACTTAAAAATCTTGGTTCAAAGCGAAGGCCTTAATATCTCTAACTAGGTGACCCATTTTTTAAATTAGATTGTTCATTCCCTCTAATGGATTCGTTGTATTCATTCAAAAAATGTTAAATGATTTATCTGAAACAATATTTATAAATAAAGATGTCACAAACATCCGACGATATGTGCTGTTATTTTTTTAATAGCGTAATTTTTTTGGAAGTAGGTAGTACGAATAGTCTGCCAAGTTTCACAGTTACTGTTGTATTTGAAATATGAGTGTAATAAATAATAAACAAATCCACACCTAGTATGGTTTGTCATCACCTGCAATGCCTCATTAAGATTTCCGGAAATAGTAAATATAATTTTTAGAACTGCTTATTCAAAACCAGAACACTTTTAGATCAGAAGATAATATATACCAACAAATATTTGTTTATATAACACCTGTTTCATATTAAGGTCAATTATGAAATAAAACCTTTTCAATTTTTCAACAAGATCGTTCGAAAATATACAAACTGAATGCGCCTTAAACACAAACAAACGCTTTATTTAGTACTCAGCCACCTATTAAAGGCCGTATGAAGCAAGAAGACCTTAAAACATCAACACATATTTCATTATATATAAACAGTTCATTCCGAATCTGTGAGGGCTGAAAACCGAATGGAATATTTTCACCCTAGATCTATACTGCCGAATATTTACAAAGCAGTTTCTATAATTAAACACTATAGATTTTTAAAATATTTCGTCGTTGTAAAGCCGAATAACCAAACCTAACTATTGGTAATATCTTCTTTTGCTGTAAAATTTTAATAAGTAGACTCGATTGGTTCTTACTTGTTCCAATGCATCATAGATTACATAATTGCTAATGATGATTAATTTGAAACATGCGAAATGAAGTTATATTTGAAAATGCGTAAACGCAAGGTCGGGGAATCCCATGAAGGTGACGTTTTTGCTTGGTAAACTTGTTTTGGTTTTCAAGACAAGTTCGCAGGCTTAGTCAACTGATTTAATTTCTAGTAGTTTTTTAAATTCCTTCTAATATTGATTCTGAATTGTTTCTATTAATTAAACCTAATAAATTTCAAGACTATTTGCATTTCCAAGTATCCAAAACTAATATTAAGTTAGCAACTTAATATTAGTTTTGGATATTAGTATTGATTTTATTGTGATGATAATTATTAGTTACTGTCACCCTAGTAATAGACAAGTAAATCTAAATAGTCCACCAACGCTGTTAATTATATAAAATATAACTCACGATGTCTTTATATGATTAGAAACCACAAATATGTTAAAACCACAATATTTTCTAACCATTTAAGTATATCAAGGTAAACCGGTGCGAATCGAATGGTATCTAAATAAGTCGTGAATCTTTCGATTGAGATTGGAATAACAAAATAAAGATTAGTTGTTAATGATAAAACCAATAATGATGTTAGAAATATTCAGCGAAGCAATGCCAGGAAGCGTATGCATTACAAAACTATATCAACCCACCATATTATAATTAATGCAATGCAACAATTAAAACACAATGGATAATGAATACGAACGTATGATGATTCTTGTTAATTAATAGTTCCACTTAACACTAGACAATCATTTGTGGGAGTTTAAGGATATTCCGCTTCTGTTTTAAGTACATCCGTATACGTTTTTTGTGTGACGTCAATTGCGCAACTGTCACCTGTCAAATTTTGATCAGTTCTTTGATGGAGGGTTTTATCCGTTCAATTGTTTTAGTCGTTAGCTCCTCGAAAGTTTCTACTTTCACTTATACGTACGTGTCTCTAGTATTATTGATATATTCAATGACAATTTCGTGTGACAGATTAATTTATGTCCACCATTAATCGACGAATATTTATTTATACTTAACATTTTTTATTACTTTCTTTTAATGACTAAAGTCTACAATGTCTATAATCTGGTTTGAAACCGTTAGAGTGTTTTATCTTTGAGACCCATTAACTTTAAATGTTTTTACAATAGAAAAACAATAGACATGTTATCTTGACCTTGCTTTTAAAGGGATCACCATATTTTAAATATTATTGTATCAACGTGGATATGCCGTAGAACATTCTAGATTAAATTATTCAGGGTTACTGGGACTGTTGCATATTATTGTTTATTTAAACAGCTTGCATTAGTATATATTAAGATGATATTATATCGATGTTGATTGCGAATAAAGCAGTGATTTTTTTTTTATTTATACGAGAAAAGTTATGGTCCTTCAGAAAAATAGGAACAATTCATAATTCAATTAATAATCATTTCCTATGACGTATGTGATGTACGTACAAAATATTAAAGGATACCATTTAGAACGGTAGAGGCTTACCACTTTGGCGAAAATTAACTATTGTCACACGAATCAGGTTGCAAAGCGTAATTAATTGCAAGTAATTGATGTCAATGGCAGCCATAAAAATTACATAAGCATGTTAGGAGCGATATTTAACATGTGTCTCTTCAAGGATCAAAGATCAAGAATGTCTATATAATTGTGTGACACGTTTTCAAAGAAAATGTAAAGAATTTTTTCTGTTAAAGAAAGATAATTAAAAACTATAAAAGCGGTCGTAAAATGTATGTAAGAATCAACGGTAACAGTGAGTGTTACGTATTGAAAATGCAAATTATATTTTTGTGCACGTGTTAAGTCAATTTGAAAGAATAGAAAATAAAATCAAGGATAAAATATTGTTTTAGAATGGACGCACTATTACAG